ATTTTTTCTTCAGTTCTTTCAGTTTGAGAAATGCTGAGCGTGTTCTTCCTTTTTGGTTTTCAGACTCCAGGTCTTTGCACATTTCATTATAGTATAGTGGATCTGATGGGGGATAATATAGAGAAGATTGGAGGGGGGACAATTTCAGCTCGGTCTGAGTTAATTGATTTTTTTTCTTCCTCATTTTTCTTTCCACATATAAACTGACCTCTATTATTTACCACTTATTTGATGCTAACTTGTAGTAGGAGTTGCTGGGTGGTGCAAACTGTTAATGCACTCAACCAAAGGTTGGAGGTTTGAATCTACCCAGAGATACCTCTGAAGAAGGTCCTGCTTATCTATTTCTGAAAAATGAACCACTGAAAACTCTGTGGAGCACAGTTTTACTCTAACATACATGGAGTGCCTTTTTTTAAAAAAAAATTTGCATCAAGGTTAACTGTTTACATGTCCATATTATCTTTTTGGAACCATGTTTTATTTCTGTGTTTGTAGCCTACTGTCCATCTCTAGTGCCTTGTATGGACAACATGTGCAATAAATACATGAATGGATGAATACATTTTGAGATGGCAAAGATTTCAATAGGATAATACAGAACTGTGTTAGGGCATTTTATATGGAGAAAAGAACATGAACAAAAACAAGGAGAAAGGAAATTGCGTGGGTTTTATATAAGGACCAATGTGAGAAAAGATTGGAAAGGTTTATTGAGCTTAGTGTTATAGGACTTTGAATGCCAAACAAAACATTTAACTTTGATTTTGGAAGGGCTAATTAGGGAGCTATGGTAGCGTAGTGGCTAAGGCTCTTGACTGCTAACCCGAAGGCTGGCGGTTCAAACCCACCAGCCATTCCTCGGAAGGAAGATGGGGCAATCTACTTCCGTAGTGATACTGCCTCGGAAACCCAAGGAGGGGTCGCTATGAGTCGGGTCTGACTCGACGGCACGTAACAACACAACAACAATTAGGGAACTAATCAGAGTTTTTGATTTGTTAAAAAGTTGAAGTCATAGAATCCGTGAACTATAAAAAGCCTTTGAAAGTACTGTCTTTATTTTATCAGTTAGACTACATGATTTACCACAAAGATAAGCTTTAAAATATATTAATATTGTCATGAAATTAGTAAATTATATTTTATTTTTATACCTTCTTTTGTATCTATTTGTATTTTGATAATGGAGACATTAAGTCTAAGCCTATAGACTTTGGAACTATTGTGAAAAATCCTATCTAGTGTTGAAATGTCTAGCCTTTTAAGAAGAAGATAAGTTTTTTAGTATATTAGAAGTATGAAAAATGAGCAGATTTTTCAGTAACGTAAAAATTAGGTCAAATGATATTGTGTATGTTCTTGGGCTTCAATTTTTATTATGTCTTTCTAGAGTTTTCTAATTAAAATCAGACATGAAGGGATAGTACTGAAAACATTGGGTGTGGTTATAGGTCTAGGCCTAATTAAGTATAGCCCATTGCCATTGAGTCGGATCTGACTCACAGCAACCCCTCCTTGGGTTTCCTAGGCAGTATCACTATG